TAATGGTTAAGGCACTAGGCTGGAAACTGGGAGACTGAGTTCTATTTTTACCGTAATTTTATTAAAGGTTAAAATTGCAACAATAAAAACTAATACAAACTAAAAAAAGAAGAGTAAAAAGAAAGAGTAGATGGTACTGAAATGAAAAAAATAGAGAAATAGAAAAGAACAAAAAGTAAGAAAATAATCAAGAAAAAAACATAATGAGGTGACTTCTCACCTTCATCACAAGTATAAACAATTTTAATAACTTATCACCTTCTCTAAAAATACAACAAATGATCTCTTCTTCACGCATTCCAACTCTTATCTATAAACAAATCCATAAAACATTGTTAATTCAATCCTTGTCCATTAACAGTTACCATAAATAATAACATATCTATTTTAACCTTGATCACATAAATCAACTTTACATTCCTTCCTTAATTTCTAACAATCTTTAGTCCATTCAAATAATGTTGTAGAAGTTGATTTCTTTTTATTTTTTCTTTGTCCCTTTTCACAAGATTCTTCAGTATTTTAACAAGCCTCTTTTGTAAATCCAGTGTAGGAAAATTATCCAGGTCATCTACATATGCAGAGCTGATATGAAGGACTCATATGTATCTATACAATGGGAAGTCAAATGGGAACAGTTTGAATGTTCATGTCCTTATGTATATTGAAATATAATTTACTTTAATGGAGATAGACCATTATGTATTACCTAATTGTGTCTGAGATTAATATTTTTGCTTTGGGATTTATACAGAGCCACTGGTAATTTCTTGGAAAGGATATTTTTGCATTCTTTATGTTGGAGATTATGGGAAGGAAGGAAGCCTTAGAACTAGTTGGTTTGCACAGTTCTCCAGCGTAATTGAAAGTGCATGATATAAAAGTGAACTGACAACACAGTGCAAAAGACAGAATGTCTGCAGAGAAGGCAATTGGTATTAGAAAGACAAAAGCAGCATTTTGGCATCATATTGCAAGACCTGATAGAAGCAGCGAGAGGCTGCAGATGGATGTTTTTAGTATTGTTAGCAAGTTTTGAATTATCACAAGAGCAGTTAGAGCAGAATCAAACTAAAGTCATGTGGTGCATTACATTTAATGTACCATGNTATTGTTGTTGTTGTTAATTGCAAAGTCATGTCTGACCCATCGTGACCCCATGGACAACGTTCCTCCAGGCCTTCCTGTCCTCTACCATCTTCTGGAGTCCATTTAAACTCACGCCTACTGCTTCAGTGACTCCATCCAGCTACCTCATTCTCTGTCATCCCTTTCTTCTGTTGCCCTCAATCTTTCCCAGCATTAGGCCCTTCACCAGTGAGTCCTTTCTTCTCATTAGGTGGCCAAAGTATTTGAGTTTCAACTTCAGGATCTGGCCTTCTAAAGAGCAGTCGGGGTTGATCTCTTCTAGGACTGACCGGTTTGAACGCCTTGCAGTCCAAGGGACTCGCAGGAGTCTTCTCCAGCACCATAGTTCAAAGGCCTCAATTCTTTGTCGTTCAGCCTTTCTTATGGTCCAACTTTCACATCCATACATTGCAACTGGGAAAACCATGGCCTTGACTATACGCACTTTTGTTGGCAGGGTGATGTCACTCTTTTTAGTATGCTGTCTAGATTTGCCATAGCTTTCCTCCCCAGGAGCAAGCGTCTTTTAATTTCTTGGCTGCAGTCCCCGTCTGCGGTGATCTTACGTATTACATATATATATATATATATATAGATGAAGTCAGTGGTGGGATTCAAATATGTGAACAACCGGTTCTCTGTGTGGATGCTGCTTCTGGAAGTCCGTTCTGGGCCTGGGCAACAAAAAATTAGCTACCAGTTCTGCTGAAGTGGTGCAAATTGTGTGAATCCCACCACTGGATAAAGTATGGATTGCTATAAAATAAACAATGTGCATAAAAAGAAAAAAAACTGTCAGAACCCTATCTTTCTATGGGCATGGGAATTCCTGTTCTTTTTCGGGTTCTGCCATTCTTTTTGGGGGAGGGAGAAACTTGGGGTTGCTACAGTATATTTCCTTTGCTTTGTTCCTGGCTCTGTCCTCTTTGATGTATCTTTCTCGGGATAAGAATGGAATGTGCCTCTGGCCATCTGCCTTATCTCCGGACAAAGAAGAAGAGACATAGAGACCTAACAGCCTTGGAAGCGACATCTTATCGCTCCGTTCCCACAACATTTTCACACCTGCAGATTGGCCCATTTAAACCATCTGGATGGACAATTGGGGTGGGGTTTTCATTTATTCTTTTGACTTATTGATTTGCGCAGAAAATCCTCAGATCCTGCCTTCTACTACTGCTGTCAACACCTTCCAATAAAAGTTCCTTTTGAAATGATGTCCGTTTCAAGAATTCTGCTTTCCTGGGAGGCTTAATTGAGGCAGGTCCTTACAAAAACCCTAAATGTCACCTGTTTAATTTAGATAAAAGTCCTTTGTTTTTGCAACTCTTGATTGTAGACTGTTTATAAACATTCTGTTTTTACCTAAAAGTAGTAGTAAAATGACTGGCAATTTAATGGTACAAGATCCACTATCTCCTGTAACAAAATTTGCACAAATGCTTCATTTTGCAAAGAATCATTTTTCAGTTCTCCTTGACTGTAGTAAAAAGGTACTCAGTGAGGTTTTACAGCAAAGATATCTACTTTAAATTACCCATTGTTCATGTTTTGTGCTTGTTTGCCCTGTAGCAATGGCTGACATTTCATAGAGATTGAACCTGCATAGGGCCAGAATATATATATAATTATAAGAATCACCTTCTCTTGATTTTCCCATTATGTACCAATCATGGGAAAGGCAGGTATTTCTTAGGTGCTTGCTACAGTAAGAAAAAAAAGTTTTATTTATTGACCTGTAATTAGAATGTGGCATTTTGGTAAATTAATAGACGATAGCTTTTGTATAATTTGGTACTCACCAGGTGCTGCAGGATGTGCTAATGAAAGTCTTTGATCTAAATCACATAAGTGGTAGCATATAACTGAAACCCCCTAGTATGATCCCCAAATAATTTTAAAAATATTTAAATATGCTAAAGCAGGCTCCTTAATAAAATATTAACTATTGTTAATTATTGTTAATTGTTGTTATATTTAACAATATATTTGTTATAATTATAATTTGTTATAAACAATAATATTTACAATATGAAGTCAGAGTTACTTTACTGCTTTTGTCATCTCCTCAATTAATGTAAATTCTGTGTCACATTTTGACCCAATTTATGTACAATAAAGGATGCTCAGGATCCACTAAATTTATTTTTCCAGGCTTTGGATTAAACATAAAGGGACAGGCAATAATCATTATCATGTGTAGAAAACTGATGAATTGTTTAGGGAAGAATGGCAACCTAATGGAAAAGTAAAAGGCAAAGAACAAAAAATGAACAATATCCTGTCTCAAAATAATTCTGTCTTGATTCTATTTGGTATGGTATGACAAGAGTAGTGAAAAACTGGAGGCTTTCAAAATTCTATTATTACACCCTTCAGCAAAAGATGCATTCCTGTAAACCCTTGCATTGTCTGTAAGAAATAGTCTACTGCAGTCTGTTGTTGTAAGTGTCCTCTAAAGCCTCATTTCTGTATAGCAGTAGCAGCAGGAAGAGACGTGTAACCTGCTGATGATTCTTTTTTCTATGTTTCTGCAACCCAACTAAACAGGGAGTTCAGTAACTTCATATAGGTCTCTGTAACTCCTCTTTTGATTGGGTTACTGGATTTTCATTTCTCCTGCCATCTCTACTCTATAACTTACTTAAGTATATTGTGCGGAGATTAAGCCTAGGTCAAAAACATTACAGCATAGTTATTACTAGTCATAGGGAGGTAGGTGGTAGTTTAAGTAGATACAATCATGCCAACAGAATAAGGGAACTTTCTGTTCATGTTTAACTGAGCAAAATTACTTGGGCTTAAAGGAAACATCTTAACAATTGTGTCATTTACTCTAAAGGATTCATGAGAAATTTGTGGAACTCAGTTGGGTTACTATGCAGATAGAATAGTAAATATCTGTTGGATTTTGAAGCTTGAGTGTTGTGCTGCACTTTTAATCTCCAACAAGTTTCAAGGTATTGCATACAGTCCTATGTATTTGAACTAAAACAACGTTCAGAAGCAGCTTCTGTGGAAATAAAACAGGTGCATGGATATCTGCAACTGTGATGTTGCCCAGAAAATAACTTATTTGTCCCTTCCTAACCTATAAACATTTCTGACATAGGTTGAGGTTTTACTGCCTATGTCAGTGAATTGTTCAGTCTTAACTATTTTGAGCCCCATGGAGAAAAGATGGTTGTAAATACAATAAATACAAGCAGTGAGGTGTACTCTGCTAAGATCACTGCTTATTGTCACTGTACAGTCATCACATGCTGACCTTTGTTACTGTGAGCTTCATCTTATAGTTTGAGAGAAAGAAAGTCTACTTACCCGATGAAATACTTTTTTTTGGTGGTTCTCTTTCTTTTTGCACCTCAGAATTTGACAGGCACCTACCACAAAAAGAACAATTTGCTCATTCCCTGCAGGTATTATTTCACAAGGAAAGAAGTTATTCTTGGCAGTCCCTGAGAATGGTTTGCAGGCATATAATGCTATAGCATTGTTAAGACTGAGTAGGTCTTTGCATGGCCTGGTTTGGACAGTATAGTAGCATCTAGACTTGCTAGGTAATCTGCTAGTAACCTTCCCTCAAAGAAGTCTATTGCAAAAATAGAAAACATATATCAGCCTGTTTGTGGATAATTTAGGTAAAGTTTATGTTTTCTAAAAAAAAGGAAAAGAACCAATACATATGAGATATTATATTCTGATAACAACATAATGGATTGTGGTAATGGTGTGAACTTTTCATTTTATGTTACTCTAGAATGCTAATTCTCATAACTTGTTTCTCTGTCAATCTGTATAGTTTGATGATAAACCTCATGTATGAAGAAAATATGAATTTATCTTTCTGCATTTCTTTTTTTTATTTTTAGGACCAGGGACCTACAGCCCAATAGTTGACCAGCCAGGAATGAAAGTCTGGGATTCTCAAGAACCACGTTTTAAAGATTCAAAAGACAGCAATCCTGGGCCTGCTTCATACGAAGTAGGTTGACAACACAATGTTATTTGGCAAATGGTTGAACCTGGTCATGCCTTATAATTATGTAATAGATACTTAATAACCTGCCACAGTGGTGTCATTTTGGTACCTAACATCAGGGAAGCAAAAGGTTGGATTTATTTTTAACAAGGTAGGAAGATGGCACCCAAAGAATGCTGCATTTATTGTATTTATTGCTGTGTCAAGGTTGTGCTTTACCAGCGGGTCTTCAGAAGGAGTTTACAGGTTTGGTTGGAAGCATTTGATCCACGGAGGAAGTGTACAGTTAGTTAAACATATAGGGTTTTAGCTTGTTGATGAGATGTTGATGAAAGAGGAAGCATAGAGATCATTGCATAAATGATATGAGTGGATATGTTAAAATATGGCTTAAGTGCCTTTTGATTGAGATAAATTGGATAGAGTAGATGTTTTAATCTGGTGTTGCAGATGTGAACATGCATTAACTTAAAACTTTTTCCCAAAAGGTTGGATAATTTCCAAAGCTGTCACATAAAGGATCCTAATTTGTAGAATTTTTGATGTTATAAATGTACGGCATTTTCCTTATGGTGAAGCTAGTTAGATGTTATTCTATTTCCAAAGACATGTATTCTTTTGTAATTGAACTGACTGAAATGAAATACAGGTTTTGCATTCTGGAGAACAAGTTATGCTATCTTACCTTAGGTCTATTTGTTACATGTATAGTTTAATTTTGTATGGTATAACCTTTATTGTGAGCCACTAAGGATTTTGGTAAAGAAGGAGGATAAAAATTTATTGATTGATAAAAGCTTATTAAATAGCCAGGGAGCCTTTATTCACCAGTGGTGATCCTACCTGGAGATAACACATGCCTCATTACTATTTACGGTACTAATTACTATTTGCTTGGATCATTCCAATATGCACTTTGAAGGCCATTTGGAAATTTTAACTAGCCCAGAACACAGTAGCCTGGTTGTATTTGGGCATCCACCATCAGGAATATCTGTGTTTTAGGCCCTACACTTGATTACTATTAGCTTCAAAGTGAAGTGCTGGCATAGAGTTTTAAAAAATCTTTAGCCTCAGAGTACTTGCAGAAATGTCTTGTCTGTTTTAGCCATCCTGTCCCCCAAGTTAGCACTTTTTGGAGAACCTCATATGCTCCCCTCCACATTTTTGTAAGAAAAGGCATGATTACACATTGGAATACCGTTTCTTTAACATTTGATCTGACTCAACTGGGTTTCTGCAAGCTAAAAAAGAAAGTTATTTCAGGCAGCTAATGGTGGCATCAGCTGAATGCCATCACACTGATTAATGTAAGTTAATGCATTGATGCGCCCCCATCCATAAGAACAGATAAAAGCTGAAACTACATAGACAGTGTGGAATAAAATGATCTAAAAATGACAGAAATCAAACAAAACAGAGCCCCAAAAGCACAACAGTATATTAACTCCAGGCCTGGGAGTAAGGCTGTATTTTCCCAGAAGCCTAGGAGAGAGGGCAGTGTTCTTATCTCAGGAAGATGTTACTCCAGAGCAGGGGTCCTCAAGACTTGTGGACTTCAACTCCCAGAATTCCTCAGCCAATTCCTTTCAATTCCTCTGGGAATTGTAGTCCACAAGTCTTAAAGTTGCCAACGTTGAGGACCCCTGTTCCAGAGGGATTACTTTTTGTAATCCAAAATGTTGAGTTGCTGATATGGCTATAACTAGTAAAGATATACAAATGCTTGTTCATGCATGATAAATTAAATAATACAGAAATTATAAGCACCAAAGCCCTCCTGTATTATGTATATTTGTGGCTTTCAGCTTCTGGAACGTTCTTTCTCTTGCAAAGTCTTTGTGGCTATTTGCATATATAATTGCCCAGAGGTAGGCCAAGATTATCTTTTTCAAGGAAACCTTAGAAAAATAGCACTGATTGATTCGGGTTTTTTTCTGGCTATGATTCCAGGCTACCAGAAATATATTTCCATGTAACTCTTCTCTTTCAATTATATTTTGCAAGTTTTCATTATTACAGCTGGCTCTGGGCCAGATAGGAGGTTAATGATACGTTTTCGGAAGGCAGTGAAATGTTCCATGTATATATTTTATCTGCTTTTTTTATTCTAAAATGCTGTCAGTTTTAATCTGAAAGATTGTCAATATTCTTATTATACCAGTGATGTTATGTGGACCCTTATGAATGGAGTAATCCTCCTTAGCCATCCTGGTATGGGTATGAATGAATGTGCCTATGTTTCTTTGAGACAGAGAGAAGAGAAAAGGAAAGATCAGTGATCAGTGATTTAGCCTACACTTGCTAAAGTATATGCATTTATTTAAATAAATTTAATAAAACATTGACTGAATTTTGTTACATTGAGATACAGGCTTAGTTCATATTATCAATGAAAAATGTGAATAATAGTTCTCTTTGCCAAATCTACCCTTCTGATCTTTTCAAATGTCACTAATATCAAGTATAGTACACTGTCTGCTTCGCTTAATAATGACACCTCCAGGTACATTCATTCAGTCGTGTTTTTAAAATTAATACACTTCAATTGCTTTATATGAATGCTTGAAAGGGCACTGCAGATCATAGCAATATGCATTAACTTCCTCTTCATTTATTTTAGTCAAGACCTGATGCAAAATATTATGTAGAAATCTACTTCTTAGCTGGTCCAAAATCAAACAAATGTAATCCTTTCTTTAAATCAATAACAAGAAACTGCCACCAAACCATTAGTAAATAGTCCAAAGGATCCCTAAGACCGCCCCCACCCACCCAGACAGGCAAGACACCAGAATATAAAATGATAGCAAACAGCACCTCCTTACTAGCACTGATGATGTTACCTAGTTAGGGTAATGAAACGTCTGCAAGAAAACAAGGAAGCTCTGAGAGCATCAAAGACCCCTCATTTCAATCCTGAACTACAAATATTCTCCTTCATTGGTACTTTATAGACCTTTCTATTCTTGCATCCTTCTGTTCACAAATCCATATACTGCTCTCTACATTGCATGCTGTTCTTTATATCTTCTTTTAATCGCCTTTCAATTTTAGCATCTTAAATCTTAGCACTGTTTCTGAAAAAAAATCCAGCAGCGTAATTTGTATTTTATTTTTCCCCAATGTGCAGGTATTTAATACAAACTGCAATGGTTAACTTATATACCGCACTTATAAATTAGTCTATCATTTAAAACAATTTCTACCTGTTAGCCAATTTTACAACATTTCTGTCATGTTGACTGACTGTCACCTCTTTATTTTGACAATATAAAAATTGGTGTCTTTTAATATTCTAAAAGATCAACACGACAGTTCTTTAATGAACATTTTTAATAAAACATCTGTCAGCTGTTGAAAAATATATTATCAATTAGGTCTTTGGTTTAACATAAGCTATAATATGAAAACCTGGAAAATATGATTGAAATAACTCTGTAGAGGGATATTTTGTAGTTTGAAATGTGTTACTACTTATAGGCAGCACATTTGAACTTTTGTTTACTAGTTTATCTAATATTTATTCTTAAATTGGATCCAGAAGTAATGTGGGTATTTATTATGTTATATTATATACCAGACATAGATCTGTTTAAAAAATAATACTTAAATGTACTTAATTGCTTGAATTGTCAGCATAGTTAGCCATAAGGAAATTAAGGATGTAGAATTCTAAGCAATGTTCTGCTAATTTATTTATTAAACAAATTTATATGACCACCCAACTCACATACAGATTGCTTTTGGCAGTTTACAATGTTAATGTACTGTTACACTAGCTTTAGAAATAATGTAACCTTCCTCATATACATGCACACATTTTGATAGTAGAAATGTGTATTCAGATGATTTAAAAAATATATCACTCTCTTTAATCCTCCATATATAGTGCCTCTGTGGTGCACTACTGGTCTTAAACGTGATTTGCTCATTTGCCTTTCATAATCTGTGTAATAGATTACTGCCTGAGAAGACAAATGAGGACAGTCAAATTAAGATTCTGTAGTTGAATGGGGCAGATCTTCTCACCAAATTTATGTTATGTACTAAATTGCTTGCCGGTTCTCCTATGAACTGCACACACACCCTTTTAGTATACTTCAGATCTTTGAAATGCAGTGACTTTGGTGATCAAAACATAAAGGTCTGTGAACAAATGAATCAGAATTATATCATTGAAAGACTGTAAAATATGCTTTAATGGAATGTACAGAGCTTTCTACAGCATCCAAACTGCATATGCTGGTGAGATGTTAGCTTCTACTTTTTTTTTTGAGAGAATAAATTATTAATTCATTTTTCCGGGTGACTCTAATGGCATTCTTCCCCTGACCATTGTTTGCCAAAATGTTGTAGATTTTAGATTAATTGCCAGTGAAGCTTCGAAAATAAACCTATCATGGTGGTACGAAGACTTAAACCATGAGTTAGTACTGTGTTGATACGCTGAAAGAAAGATCAGCTGAGGTTTCAAATCTCAATTGCTCTTTGTTACAGCTACCACTCCAGCTTATTGCTCAAGAGATGATTTTATTATACAGATAAATAATTTGTCCACAGCCATGCAGCATGAATCAAAGAACTATGCTTCTACAATAAGCAGCTGTGATATTGGGCAGAAACCTGTGGGTTTATATCAACATTAGCAGTCTCTTGCCTTATAATGTACTGTACACAGTGCTTTGCAAATGTGATGAAGCCTGGCCTGATCGTAACTTCCCATTCCCGTTAATGTTGTAGGCACCTTTTAAGGTACTTCTAGGTTGAAAGGATTAGCCAGTGACATCACCCTTGCCTGTGGGATGCCTGTGGGGGCTTAGAATAGAATAGAATAGAGCTGGAAGGGATCTTGGAGGTCTTCTAGTCCAGCTCCCTGCTCAAGCAGGAGAACCTATACCACTGATGGCGAACCTTTTAGAGACTGGGTGCCCAAAAACTGGCCCACCCCCCTGGCCCACCCCTGCTCTGCCCCCCGCTCCGCCCCCCACTCTGCTCGCCCG